GAACATCACTGGATGTGGCCCGTAGAGCAAACCAAACAAACACAAATCCTACTTCTTGTTTGTGTGCAGTGGGAACCTAGTGTAAAGTCAATAGGACCAAACCCCTGCCCCCCTGGGGTTCTGTAATGCAAAACAGAAAGGCAAGTGCTCTATTGCTAAGTTCCAGCTCTGGACCCTACACATACTTGGAATAGAACATTCTGCTCTCAGCTTCCAGGCTGGTGGCTTTCGGTGGCTTTGGGCTTCCCTTGTCATGATGATAGCAATATTTAAACCCGTTTCTCTCATTTACAGTGTAATGAAATGCAGTATATGTGATTTTTTTGTGTAATTTGGTAAGCTGATTTAAAAAATCATAAATTAGTTATATGCTATTTGTGAAATACATGAAGAAAATATAAGGTGGGTTTCTTTACAAATTATGTCTCTGGCGAATGATTTTTAGCCAAAAAAAGGGAAAGAGGATGTGGATATAGAAGATAAGGAATCACGCTCAATTTAAAATTAATTAATAATTGATAATCAATTGATTTAAAATAAACAAATTCATTAATAATTATTTAAAAATCACACAGAATGGGCCAGAGAACATACAGGAGGTGAGTGGTGGCATTTCTGTATCTGGCCAACCCCATTCCTATTCCCCATACTGCAGTGATCCCAGTGAGCATCACTAGGGCCCAGTCCTGAGCGCACAGCCAGCAACAGCCCTTGAGTACTGCTGGGGAGGCTCAAACACTCCCCTTTCCCCCAAAAAGTATGCAGAGAGGAACTCAGACCTGATGGTGGCACTTTGGATTTAATGAGAATGTGTTTTCCAAGGAGTTACATTAATACGATAAAACAGAATCACGAATGCCGAAATGAACTCCAGAGACTGACAACGGGAGGCTGAAAGGTACGTGGGAGACTATTCACAGACAGAAAGTCAGCGACTCTAAGGAACTAGAGCAAGAGGATTATAGATGCAGTGACAACGCTGGATGAAGTCAACTCAGGTTATCGAGCTTGTGTATTTTTTTTTTTGTTATTGTTGTTTTCAAAGAACCAGCTCTTGGTTTCATTGATCTTTTGGGATTATTTTTTTGGATTCCTGCTCATTGATTCCTGCTCTGAGTTTTATGATTTCTTTCCTCCTGCCTGGCTTGGGCTCCTTTCTGTTGGCCATTTTCTAAGATCTTAAGTTGTGAAGTCAAGTTATTTATGTGAGCCCTTTCTTCCTTCCTGATGAATGCTTGCAGAGCTATGAACTTTCTCTTTAAATACTGCTTTAGCTGTGTCCCACAAGTTCTGGTAGCTTGTGTCCTCATTCTCAATTTGTTTCCAGGAATCTTTTGATTTCTTCTTTGAATTCCTCTCTAACCCACTGGTTGTTCAGCAATGAGCTGTTTAATTTCCAGGTATTTGATTGGATTCTCTGTTTTCTATGTTCAGTGCATTGTGGTTTGGGAAGATAGTTGATACAATTTCTATCTTGATTTTATTGAGGTATGTTTTGTGACCCAGCAGGCGGTCCATCTTGGAAAATGTTCCGAGTGCATTGGAGAAGAATATGTATTAGGCTTTCGGGGGATAAAAAGCCCTGTATATATCTACTAGCCCTCTCTCTTCCATTTCTTCCTTCAGTCTTGTGTTCTTATGATGCAAGAGAGAGTTTAAGTTGACAAATTGTGAAGTAGAAGAGGGAGTAGAAGATATGCAACACAACTTGTCACTGGGATGCAACCTGCCACCTATGGGAACTCTTGGAGACTCGGGTCTGAAATGCCTGGGTTTAAAACAGAAATTTTCACGGTGACTTAGTGCCTTGTGTTTCAGTAGCAATACTGTTGTCTTGTTAGGTGAACATGTGTGGAACCAGAGCTTCTCTTTGCTAGTCTTTACAACGAAGTCAAATTTGCTTCTTTCCATCTGACCCTGAACTGTATCTGTCTGTAGAGATATAACCGGACTGTATTAAATAACAAATCACCCTTACTAAAAGAAGTTTAATCCAATCCTATCACAAATCACAAATCACAAAGCATCCTGTTAATCGTCGATTGCCTTGAGCAGGCCCCAGTAACGTCTCCTTCATCCTAGCCCTGAGATTATATTCAAGGCTCTTTAGGAGAATGAGACCCATCATTGTTACTGGTATTTGGCATATTGGGCATGCCACGGGGAGTTTGCCAGACTCTGCCGTGTGGGCAGGCTACACTCGGTAGCCTGCCAGTTTGTCCAAAGTAGGAATGAGATAATAAGATGTCATAATAGAATGTCACGTGGCTGCGAATGTGGCCGCGCAGTTCCGGGAGCTGGTTTTTATAGTCTCTGAGTCTTGGCCGTTGATGGGATTACACAGCGCCAGGGGCCCAGTTGGTGGGTGTGACCCCCGCCTACTGGAATTTGGAGGATCTGGGTGGAGGATTCCCAGCCCCAATCCGAGTAGGCTTGGAGATCTCGGCCCCGGAACCCGCGTGACTTTGTCCCTCTGCCAGTACCTTCATGTGTGCGGAGAGTGGTCTCAGCATGGTGGTGGCTGGTCCTAGAGGTCTTTGGCTGCCGGAGCCCTGGTCGGGGCAGGAAGGAAAGCTCAACCCGCTCCCCTCCAAGGGGCCCCGGCGGCGAGGACAGTCAGGCGCGGGGGCAGGAGACTGCACTCTTCTCTTCCGGGAGCTGGTTTTTATAGTCTCTGAGTCTTGGCCGTTGATAGGATTACATTGATGGGGTAATCCCTATGATAACTGTAAATAAACACTGACTACTTTTTGTGTGTGTGCATGTGAGTTACACTGAAACTTCTGGTCTCTAAAACAATCTCCAATTGTCCTCACATCCTTCAAAATACAAACAACTGTCCTTTGCACAGAAGGATTCAATGTTACGCCAAAGAAACATAATCAAATTATCTTGAAAAATATAACTGTAAACTTATCTCAGTATTCAGACTAACTCACAGCCTGCTAACATTCCATTTGAGTTACATACAGTTTTTGGTTTTTCTTTCTGTTTGGGGACCACAGTCAGCTGTGCTCAGGACTTCTGACTTTGTGCTCAGGGATCACTCCTGGTGGGGCTCAAGGGGGCATATGGGGTCCCTGGGGGGAGATTTCAGGTTGACCACATGCAAGGCAAGCGCCAACATGCCTGCTCTAAGTTTTATTATTTAGAAGTATGTATTCGATGGGCTGGAGAGATAGCACAGTGGGTAAGGTATTTGCCTTGCACACAGCTAACATGACCGACCCGAGTTCGATTCCTCTGCCCCTCTGAGAGAGCCCGGCAAGCTACCAAGAGTATCTCGCCTGCACAGCAAAGCCTTGCAAGCTACCTGTAACATATTCTATATGCCAAACACAGTAACAACAAAGTCTCATGATGGAGACATTATTGGGCCCGCTTGAGAATATCAATGAACAATGGGAGGACTGTGACAGTGACAGTGACATATTGATATGCCAAAAACTGTAACAATAACGGGTCTCATTCCCCTGACCCTGAAAGAGCCTCCAATATGGCAACATTGGGAAAGACAAGTAAGGAGAGGCTGCTAAAATCTCAATGCTGGGACGAATGGAGACATTACTGGCACCTGCTCAAGTAAATTGATGAACAAGGGGATGACAGTGATACAGTGATACTAGGGGCCAGAGTGGTAGTACAGCAGGTAGGTCGTTTGCCTTGCATGCAGTCGACCCTGGTTCAGTCCCTGGCATCCCATATGGTCAGAAGTAATTCCTCAGCACAGAGCCAGGAATAACCACTGTGCATTGCCGGATGTGACCCAACAAGCAAACAAACAAATAAATAAATAAATAAAATAAAAATAATACTATTTGTCCAGTCCCACATACAGCATTTCACAACCATGCTATGTCACTGCCTATGATACGTAAAGCTTGTAACTGTTGGTAGTAAAATCACATTCTGATGAAACCACTAAAAAATGTTTTGAATCTCACCAAATAGACTATTTTTTGGTGAGAACACTATTTCTGGTTTCAAGTGTTATAATAAAGTTTTAGTTAATTCTGCTATTGGCTTAACACTTTCTACCTGAGGTGCTAATTATCTTTCTCCCCATGCCTGCTAACAACATGATCTGTCACCCTCTTCCCCACATAGCTCCCCCTAATATACAACTTTTTAAAGTAAAATCTGTCCTAGAACACACATATATGGATATACATATTACACCAAAAATACTTTTGTTAGAGAAATGGATACTTGTATAAATAGAAAACGATGGGAACATCTATCACATGGAAATTTGCATAGGATATCAGACTCTGAAGTCACTTGATCATTAAAACACTGCTCTCGCAAACCACCAGTACAAAAATAAGGACTGATCATAGAGCGTTAAAAGTTTTATTTCTACAACTGGACTCTGCTGGGAGCTCAGCATCAGTATTCCAGAAGGTTCTTGATTCCAATTCAGGTGGGGAATAGTACTTCATTAATGAGGTATACTGGAAACCTCAAATAACATCTAGAGAATTTAATTTGGAAACTTCTTACTGAAATTATTTCTTGTACATTGATAGCAGCCCAATCAATAACAATAAACACTTTATATGTGGAAATCCCGGCTCCTTATTCCTTTAGGGGCAGGGATACATACATAAGATGCAATATTTAAAAGAAAAAAGAACTGGGGAGATAATACAGTGGGTAGGGCATTTGCCTTGCACACAGCCAAGCCTGGTTCGATCTCCAGCATCCCACTTGGTTCCCTCTGTATCACCAGGAGTAATTCCTGAGTGCAGAGCCAGGAGTAACTCCTGAGCATCACCAGGTGTGGTTCAAAAATAAAAACACAGACCAAAAAAACTTTTTCATTAAAATGAAATTTAGAGAAAAAAGTTTTCAGGGCTACCAAGCTTTACAGTGGAGGTTGAGTAGTTTATTTCTCTTACACAAAGAGAGAAAATAAAAACCCAACAATAAACTCTGTTCAAGGTAAGATAATGATTTTCCGCTTGTCAAGGAAAGTGTTTTGTTTTCAATTTACATACCAACAGTGTGGATAGGTCTCCGGTAGGGAAGGAAGCCAAAACTGTACTGAAAAATCCCTCTGGCATAGAACAGGGGCAAAGCAAACCCCATGATCCTCTGGAGTTTATCCTGCACAGTCCGGAGCCAAGAGCCTTTTGGGTTGCTGACTTGTTTGAACACGTCGTTTTCCCCAAAAGAAAACACTGGGACTAAATGGGCACTGTGGATGACAAAGAAGAAGCAGAGTTTCCAGTGAAAAGAATCTGAATTTTTTATTCTGTCCCACTGACCTAAATTTTTTTTTTAATTTAATCACTATGAGATACACAGTTACAATGTTGTTCATGATTGGGTTTCAGTTACACAATGTTCCAACACCCATCCCTTTACCAGTGTATATATCCCACCACCGATGTTCCCAGTTTCCCTGCCACCAACCTTCATCCCAGCCTGCCTTGATGGCAGGTACTTCTCTCTCTCTGTCTCTTCCTATCTCTGTCTCTCTGTGCGTCTCTGTCTCTGTCTCTGTCTCTGTCTCTCTCTCTCTCACCCCCCCCTTCTGGGCAGTGTAATGCTGTTATTGAAAGGTTATCATGTATATCCCTTCACCTACTTTCAACATTCATTTCTTGTGATCATTTCCAACTCTCATTGTCACAGTGGTCCCTTCTTTATCCTAACTTGTGGCAAGCTTCCAAGAGTGGACCAATCCTGCCAGCCCTTGTTTCTTCTGTCCTTGGGTTTTGGTCTCACAGTACACTTCTTTATTGTCCCACTGACTCCTGACTCTTACAACACGTTCTTTAGCAATTCTGGAAGATTTCCGAGTCTCTCTAGATGCCCAAGTTCAGGTTCCATATGTTGAAACAGATTGATATTTGGAATCCTTTTGAGGGGAGTGGGGTGCTTGTGATTTATGAAACTCTATTCTACACAAAAATCAAGGTTCCAGGAGGATGCTTCTTGTCTTCTATGATTTGGTCCTATTTCATGTGCTCACCTGGTTGGAAGTACATTCTATGCAATGAAAGCTGATGTCTCACTGCTGGTATGATAGCACTGAGCATTACTGTAAGTGCCGGTATTATTGAGGAGGTCGTGCCCCATAGCCCATGAACACCCATTCCCATTTCTCTTGTAAGATTCCTTAGCAGGAGGTCTGGCTCTAAGGGCTAGAGAATCGCAGTAACTCTCAGATGTACTCAACAATGTCTTAACTTCCCTGACCCAGTTACCAGGAACAAAAAGCCACTTACCCATGGGTCAAAGCCATTTTAACAAATCCTTTCCGCCTGAGGATGTACAGAGTGAAATTCCCAGGATTGGCATATAATGATTCTTTTGCACCCCCGAGAACAATGACTGAGATATTTCTACCTCCCTCCTTGCTCAATACATGTGATATACTTCTCTCGGAAACTGAGACTGGACCTTAGAAAATCAAACAGAAGGCACAATTAGTCATCTTTTTGCTTGGTGGATTGTTTGCTGGCCACACCTGGATGGTGGTACTCAGGGCTCACTCTTGGCTCTGCACTCACGCATCACCCCTGGCAGGGCTTGGAGGACGATGTGGGATACCAGGGATTGAACCCAGGTTGACTGTGTGCAAGGCAAATGCACTACTCAATGTACTATTGCTCTGACCCCCAATAAGATACAGCTTTTTAGCAGGTAGTGGGTGAGGTCACTTAAAATGCCTCTGATCAGTAAGATCTAAGACTAGCCGGGCTGGTTGTAACAGACTTCAAGCTTCAGCACTGACAGAGTCTTTTTTTTTTTTTTTTTTTTTTTTTTTTTTGCTTTTTGGGTCATACCCGGCAATGCACAGGAGTTATTCCTGGCTCTGCACTCAGGAACTACTCCTGGCAGTGCTCAGAGGACCATATGGGATGCTGGGAATCAAACCCAGGTCGGACGTGTGCAAGGCAAATGCCCTACCTTCTGAGCTATCACTCCAGCCCCCAACTGATAGACTCTTTTCACAGTGTTTTACTAATATACACGATGATTATCCACAGATAAATTTGGCAGTGGATGAACCGGAAGTTCATGCCAAGTTAATGAGCTGTTGTTCAACCAAATAGAGTCTCTCAAGTTGAAGTAAGAACTGGTGACGAAGCTTTGTTTTCGACATTCGCTAGTGTCTTGATGGTGTTTCTACTTACTTTTATCTTGGAATAGGGGTTTTTATTTATTTGAAAAAAAACCTTTCAATAGTTTAGAGTGGCCTGCACAGTCACTTCTGCACAGGTTACACTTCACCTGAGGTGAGAAAGATAGCAGGTTGCGGTTTAGTTTATATACTGCCATTACTTCAGGACACACGAGGGTCATTTTCTGTCTTTTATATTCATAAACTTGTACAATTTACAATAGTAGATCTCCCAAAGATCCTTGATAATTGTTTTCCTTCCACCTCTGGACACTCAGAATACATTCATTCATTAAATTACTAATTAAATTAACACTGATATGCCCATATTTCAGTCATAACAGTAGATACTTGAGGTGAAACAGATAAGGAGATAGTCTGTCTCTCCCTTGTGCAGGGGAGGCAAGAGATGTCTATCAAGCAAATGAAGAAATGAAAGGGTTGGAGGCCAAAGAGATAGTGAAGCAGGTAAGGCACTTGCCTTGCATGTGGCCCACCAGGGTTTACAGACCACCAAACCCCACCGGGAATGATCCCTGAGCACAGAGTCAGGAATTAATTAGCTTTGAACATAGCAAAGTGTAATCCCACCAGCGGCCAAGACTCAGAGACTATAAAAACCAACTCCCGGAAGAAGAACAGTGCAGTCTCCTGCCCCCGCGCCTGACTGTCCTCCGCCGCCGGGGCCCCTTGGAGGGGAGCGGGTTGAGCTTTCCTCCGGCAGCCAAAGACCTCCAGGACCAGCCACCACCATGCTGAGACCACTCTCCGCACACATGAAGGTACTGGCAGAGAAACAAAGTCACGCGGGTTCCGGGGCCGAGATCTTCAAGCCTACTCAGATTTGGGCCGAGCATCCACCCAGATCCTCCAAATTCCAGTAGGCGGGGGTCACACCCACCAGCTGGCCCCCTGGCGCCATGTAATCCCATCAGCGGCCAAGACTCAGAGACTATAAAAACCAGCTCCCGGACATCTTATTATGACATCTTATTATCTCATTCCTACTTTGGACAAACTGGCAGGCTACCGAATGTAGCCTGCCCACACGGCAGAGTCTGGCAAACTCCCTGTGGTGTACCCAATATGCCAAATACCAGTAACAATGATGGGTCTCATTCTCCTAAAGAGCCTTGAATATAATCTCAGGGCTAGGATGAAGGAGACGTCACTGGGGCCTGCTCGAGGCAATCGACGATTAACAGGATGATTTGTGATTTTTTTGTGATAGCAAAGTGTGAGCCCTCCCCCCAAACAAAACAAAGGGGGAAAAAACCCGAAAAACTAACAAAGAAATGTTCAGAAAAATACCTCACATATGATTATATGACATATGACATATGAGTATATGACACATGAGAATATGACATATGAGCCTCACATATGAGTAGACATATTCTTGGACACATCATAAGACACTCCCTACCCAGTCTCCATAATTACCACACCACATTTTATGGGGTTCAGATAGTAGGCAACAAATCATAGGGGGAAATATATATATGTGTGTGTATATACATATTTTCATATACATACATACATACATATACTGAGAGTATTGCTGCCTGCTCGACAGAGCCTGGCAAGCTCCCTGAGGCATATTTGCTATGTCAAAAACAGTAACAATAACAGGTCTCATTCCCCTGACCCTGAAAGAGCCCCCAATATGGCAGCATTGGGAAAAACGAGTAAGGAGAGGCTGCAAAAATCTCAGGGCTGGGATGAATAGAGATGTTACTGGCACCCGCTCGAGTAAATTGAGGAACAACAAGATGACAGTGATACAGTGATACAGTAATTCCCTCAGGGCAAAAAGGACAGAGATTTACTCTAAGAAACTTAAAACACAACTGGCTTTGGGAGGGAACGTTCTTTGTGGTCCTGTCACCCAAGACAAGGATTAAGAGCCTTCACTTACCTACACTCATCATGTATTCTCGGAAGATGGGATACCTGAACCAGTATGGCATCATGTGAAGATACACCGTGAAGTCAGGGAACAGCTTCTCAAGGTCTGAGTAATTGGTACAAAAAATTCCATAGGCTCCAGCAACAAGCACGCCATGAGGGTGAAACCCAAATATATAGTTATGGCTGGGATCCAGGTCCCAAGTTTTGATGAGCTACAGCATAATTGATATGACAAAAGAAAATGTGTCCTGATTACTTTCCAATACAAAACAAGAGAACTCATGATTGATTGAGGGGGGGGGTTGGGGTCACACTTGGCAACTCTTAGGGCTTACTCCTGATTCCATACTCAGGAATCACTCCTGGCCTGGCAGTGCTCGGGGGGTCATATGGGATGTCAGGGATTGAACCCAGGTTGGCCACATGCAAGACAAATGCTCTACCCACTGTACTACCACCCTCGCCCCATGATTATTCTTCTGTCAAGAGGAAATGGAAGAATATGATTTGTTTGACATCCCTGGGTGAGAATTATTCCCTCGTTTTTAAACGGTTTCCTCAGCCAATAGCCCTCACACATAGCCTTGAAAATCTAGCTGTGTAGCCTAAGAGCCCATGGAGAAGCTCCGACTGCGCTGCAGGATTTCTCCTACAAAGGCAAAAGCCAGTCATATCTAGGGTGAAACCAATTTCTACTCATCTCCCAGCTCAAAGCAATAGAAGTTGATTTTACTCACATGAATTGGAAAGTACTCATTGAAGTACTTCCACACGGTCCAGCTTCTGACCCAGTTGGACCTCCTGCCTCCTTGCTCTGGTGTATGCCAGTCAAAGTACATCCACGTCAAGTAAGGGATGTAGAGGAACCAGTAATTGTAGAATATCAGGATCACAAAGATTACAACGCACACCTGTGCTGTAAGAAAGGAGACAACAGGGGCATCCGCTGCCATCACTGGACTGGATGGTCATGGGGCACACGAGGGGTTTAGGTCCGCAGAGTATGCCACCATGATCCCAGTGCAGGAGAGGTTAAGCACGAGACAACAATGACAAAAGGTTATCAAACACCTGCTGGAGGTAAACCATATTCCAAATAGCACTGTAGCACTGTCCTCCCATTGCTCATTGATTTGCTCGAGCAGACACCAGTAATGTCTCCATTGTGAGAATTGTTGTTATTGTTTTTGGCATACTGAATACGCCATGGGGAGTTTGCCAGGTTCTGCGGTGTGGGCGGGATACTCTTGGTAGCTTGCCGGGCTCTCCGAGAGGGACGGAGGAATCAAACCTGGATCAGTCACGTGCATGGCAAATGTACTACCCGCTGTGCTATCACTCCAGTCATATTCAAAGTAATGCAATAATTTTCTCTGCCAAAATATTTTCATTTAATCCTCAGAGTATGAATAAAGCAGTCATTAATTTTTTAAAATTCTTTCTTTCTTTCTTTTTTTCTTCCTTTCTTTCTTTCTTTCTTTCTTTCTTTCTCTCTCTCTCTCTCTTCTTTTTTAAAATTTTGATTTGGGGTAGGGTCCAAACACAGTGGGCTTGGGGAAACCATAGGGGATGTCAGGAATCCAACCTCGGTTGGCCTCATGCAAAGCAAATGCTCTACCTAGACTTAAAAGAAAAAATAAAATAGGTTGAGGCCAGAGAGATAGAAAAGTGGGCAGGGTAAAAGGCACGTGGAAAAATGCTCTACATCACTCATCATCAGGAGATGAAAATCAAAATAACAATGAGATATCATCTCACAACACAGCACACATCAAAAAGAATAAGAACAATGACTGCCAGTACAGATGTGGGGAGAAAGGGACTCTCTTTCATTGTTGATGGAAATGCCAACTGGTCCAGCCTTTCTGGAAAACACTATGAGCATTCCTTAAAAACTAGAAATTGAGCTTCCATATGGCCCAGCAATAACACTTCTGGAAATATATCCCAGGGGTGCAAAAAAGTACAGTAGAAATGACATCTGCACCTGTATGTTCATTGCAGCACTGTTCACAAGAGCCAGAATCTGGAAACAACCTGAGTGCCCGAGAACAGACATCTGGTTAAAGAAACTTTGATACATCTATAGCACTGTAGCACTGTCAGCCTGTTGTTCATAGATTTGCTCAAACGGACTCCAGTGACGTCTTCATTTTGAGACCTGTTGTTACTGTGTTTGGCATATTGAATACGTCACGGGTAGCTTGCCAGGCTTTGCTTTGTGGGCGAGATACTCTCGGTAGCTTGCTGGGCTCTCCAAGAGGGGCAGAGGAATTGAACCCAGCTTGGCCGAGCTGGCTGTGCACAAGGCAAACGCCCTACCCGCTGTGCTATCACTCCAGCCCTTGATATATCTACACAATGGAATACTATGGAACTTTTAGTAAAGATGAAGTCATGAAATTTGCTTATAGACTGGCATGGAAAGTATCATGCTGAATAAAATAAGCCAAAAAGAGAGGCACAGACATAGAATAACTGCACTCATTTGTGGAATATAAAAAAACATAATATGAAACTAACACCCAAGGACAGTAGAGACAAGGGCCAGGATTGCTCCATGGTTGGTAGCCTGCCACATGAGCTGGGGAAAAAAGGCAACCAGGATATAGAAGCTATGACTAAGTCAACGATGGTTGGAATGATTGCTCGGGATGGTAGGTGTGTGCTGAAAGTAGATAAAGGACCAAACACGACAGCCTCCCAGTATCTGTACTGTAAGCCATAATGCCCAAAAGTAAAGAGAGAGTAAGAGGGAAATTGTCTGAGAGTAAGAGGCAGGGGGAGGGGTGGAATGTTGGGGAGGGATACTGGGGACATTGGTGGAAAGTGTTCACTGGTGTAGGAATGGGTGTTTGACCATTGCATGACTGAAACTCAAACATGAAAACTTTGTAGCTGTATTTCATAGTGATTCAATTTTTAAAAAAGTGGGCAGGGAACTTGCCTTGTGAGCGGTGGGCCCAGGTTTTTATCCCCAGCACTTCTTATAGTCCCCTGAGCATGCGGAGTGATCCTGCATACCACAAGGTATAGCCCCCAAACACAGTAAAAAGAGTAAAATCATTTTATTTATTCATAGGAAACATGAGAGAGAAGAGAGATAGCAGAGAAAGAATCCCACGAAGTCCAGAGACAGTGCACTCTAAATTAGGCCATGCGGGTCCCTCTAGATCCAAGCATGTGAAGCTGCCAACATCCCCTTGCTGGCTTTTTTAATTTATTGAATCATTGTGAAATACACAGTTACAAAACTGTCCATGATTGGGTTTCAGTCATACAGTGTTCCATCACCCATCCCTTCATCAGTGTACATTTCCCACCATCAATGATTCTAGAATCCATCCAGCTCCACCCCATATGGCAGGCACTTTCTCTCTCTCTCTCTCTCTCTCTCTCTCTCTCTCTCTCTCTCTCTCTCTCTTTCCTTCTCCCCTTCTGGACATTGCAATACAGGTACTGAAAGGTTTGTCCCTTTACCTCCCTCCTTTCAGCACTCAGTTCTTGTCCAGAGTAAAAATTTCCAACTATCTTTGTCATGGGCTGGAGCGATAGCACAGCGGGTATGGCATTTGCCTTGCATGCAGCCAACATGACCGACCCGAGTTCGATTCCTCCGCCCCTCTCGGAGAGCCCGGCAAGCTACCGAGAGTATCTCGCCCGCATGGCAGAGCCTGGCAAGCTCCCGTGACATACTCGATATGCCAGACACAGTAACAAGTCTCACGATGGAGACGTTACTGGGCCCGCTCGAGAAAATCGATGAACAACGGGAGGACCGTAACCGTGACTGTGATCTTTGTCATAGTGGTCCCTTCCCTATTTTAGCTGCCCTCTCCCCCACCACCACTTGTGGCAAGCATCCAACCACAACCATTCCTTCTGGTCCTTATTTTGACTGTCCTGGCGTTTTCATCTCATGTTTTTTAATATATCCCATAAATGAGTCCCACCAATGAGTAGAGATTCTATGTGTCTTCTCCCTCTCCCTCTGATTCATTTCACTTAGCCTAATAATCTCCAGGTCCATCCATTTATACATGAATTTCATGACTTCATTTTTTCCTGGGGGGGGGGCGAATACATAGTATTCCATTGTGTAGATGAACCATAGATTCTTAATCTGCTTACTGGCTTTTTATAGATGAGAAAATAGAGACGTGGAGATACCTGGTGAACTGCTGTAGCCACATAGGTTGGAGGATGTGATTTGTGTAAATTCAAAGTCCACTCCCCAACTGCATGGCCCCTCCTCACCACCCAGCACTTAGTCTGGAGGGATCACGAAAGGGATGAAGAGGACTTCCGGCTCCCCATGTCACCTGGACAGAGTAGCCTTTGCCCTAAATCTCGTGCAGAGGCACAGCCAGAAACCAAGCTGATTCCCAGTTACAAATGGCACAGAAGGGACCAACCCTCCCAGCTCATGAATCACTTCTTGGACCATTTCATAACAACATGGTTTATGATCTGAAAATAGCTTGAAATTACATAAAACCAAAAATGCCCAAACTCAGTCTGAGGGCCAGAAAGATAACACAGAGGTGAAGGCATTTGACTTGGATTTGAACAAAGAAATGACCCAACTTGACCTGAGAGCCGAAAAGATAGCGCAGAAGTTAAGTCACTTGCCTAGGGTTTGAGCAAAAAATGACCCAACTTGACCAGAGAGCCAGAAAGATAGCACACAGGTGAAGGCACTTGCCTTGGGTTTGAATAAAAAATGATCCAACTTGATCTGAGAGCCAGAAAGATAGCACAGAGATGATGGCACTTGCCTTGAGTCTGAGCAAAAAATGACCCAACTTGACCTGAGAGCCAGAAAGATAGCACAGAGGTGAAGGCACATGCCCTGAGTTTGAGCAAAAAAAAAAGTGACCCAACTTGACTTGAGAGCCAGGAAGATAGCACAGAGGTGATAGCACTTGCCTTGGGTTTACTCCTCAAGCCCGTGTTCTCCTGTGAACACACATCTCCCTTGCTTGTCTCCTGGTTCTTTTGCTTGCCTATCTCTACTCTGGAGAAGACTGTGTTCTCCTGAACACATCCGCTCTCTTTATCTCTACTCATACCTTTCTAAGCAAGTTTCATTCAATAAAAACTACCTTGCTTCTAGGGCTAGAGTGAGCTAGGGACAGAAATAGCAGGTAGCTGGGGCTGGAATGATACCACAGTGGGTAGGGCGTTTGCCTTGCATGCAGCTGACCCAGGTTCGATTCCCAGCATCCCATATGGTCCCCCTGAGAGCCTCCAGGAGTAATTCCTGAGTGCATGAACCAGGAATAACCCCTGTGCATCGCCGGGTGTGACCCAAAAAGCAAAAAAAAAGGAGGGGCTGGAGCAATAGCATAGTGGGTAGGGCAGTAGGGTGTTTGCCTTGTACGAGGCTGACCCAGGTTCGATTCCCAGCATCCTATATGGTTCCCAGAGCACCGCCTGGAGTAATTCCTGAGTGCAGAGCCAGGAGTAATCCCTGTGCATTGCTGGATGTGACCCAAAAAGCAAAAAAATAAAATAGCAGGTAGGAAGTTTGCCTTGCACATTTCTGACCCAGGTTCAATCTCCAGCACTGCATATCGTGCCCCCAAGCCTACCAGGAGTGACTCCTGAGCCAGGAGTAAGCCCTGAGTACCACTAAGTATAGCCTGAGTACAGCCTAAAAACAATCTAATAAAATAAAGGGTACTTGCCTTGAATACAGCTGCAGCCACAACCATGGTTCAAATCCTGGCAACTGCATATGATTCTCAGAGGTGTGGCCCCTGGTGGAACTCCTACCTGGCAGCAGAGAGTGTGCTTGCCTTAAACCAATACATTTAGCCAAGTTAGCAATATTTTTTAGTGATTTTTCATATATAAAAAGAGAGTTCTACAAAGAGAAATATATTAATGAGAAGGGGAGGAGCATACAGCTTGATGGCCTGTTCAATACATGCTCCCTATCTCTATGGCTTTCAGCAGTGTCTTTGCCTCTCTCTCTTCTATTATGTGCCTCAGTTTCTAATCTAGGGCTTCCTTTATTCCCCCTAAGTCTAATCAAGTCCTACCATCATTGATGGCTGGAGTGATAGTACAGTGGGTAGGGAGTTTGCCTTGCACGCAGCCTAACCCAGGTTTGATTCCCAGCATTCTATGGTCTCCTGAGCACGGCCAGGAGTAATTCCTGAGTGCAAGAACAAGGAGTAACCCCTGTGCATTGCTGGGTGTGACCCAAAAAGCAAAAAAACAAATCCAGTTCTACCATCTTTGTGAAAAAATAGCCTTGCCCCCAAAGGTTCCGCCATGGTATTTGAGTCAGATCACTTTGACTTCTTACCATTTTAGAGACATAGATTCAGAGAGAGAGAATTTTTCCAATCCAAACAGAACCTGCATTTTAATTTATGGGAATAGAAATCAATCAATTCCCCCAGGAAAGGTTGAACTCAAATATAGAAGTGATCTCCCAGAAGTGGAAAGGTTTCTCCAGGATAGATCAAAGATATGTGAGAAGTCAAGATTAAGAAAGCTTGTACACTCCAGCCTAGGTGAGGCATTTCGTTACGTCCCAAAAGAATGTATCCATGACTCCACAACAGAAGGCAAGAGAGGGTGGCCTCTGTCCTAATTCCTATCAGGAGCATTTTGTTTTCCTTCACCTTTCTCTTTCTTCTTTCTACACAAGTCTGAGTGTTGACAATTTACCAACAGTTCACTCCTCTCCTGTGCTTTTTATTTTGATACAAATAAGTAAACAGGTAAAATGGAATATGCCAAATTCTGAACAATGATTATCTTAAGTTGGGAATACAAACTTTTTCTAATTTTCTCTTAGAAAAAAACTTCCCCATTTTTTTTCCCTAATAGCTTGCATTGATTTGATTTTTTTTTCTTAAAGGACAAAATGTCTCCACCCATGGGCAAAACTGAATAAAACTCTTTTAAAAACTTGCCTTTTACGAAAGAACAGGTTCATTGATACCATGGCTTTGTTAAAGTTTCAGGAGCAAACTGCATCAGAAAAATACTGTGAAGACTATTGACAGTTTTAATTCTAATAAGAACAATTCCTTTAACACCTTCAAGCTGTATGTGTATCTTCCCATCTGGATCAAAAGACGCTTGTATTTCTGCCCTTATGGGACTATGTTTATTTTAATCCTTTAACATAGTGTGGAGAAAGAAACTGGGAATTCAGAGAAAAGCAACAATCCTGTAGCCTGCCACATATTGGTCCTTCTTAAAACTCCACAGGAAAGCAAGCAATCTATTTAAGACAGTACAAATAATATATCAACTTCATTCAACAAAGATTTTAGAAACGGGAAGGAAATATATGGAGAAGATACTCAACATGTTGGTCTTTGGGGGAATGCAAGCCAACTACAGTCACAATGGGACAACATGACATGCCTTGTAAAGCCCCAAACATGAAGAAGAAAACAGACTCTAACAAGAGACAGCAAAGGCATGGAGAAATGGGGACTCATGCCCTGCTCATGGGAATGTAAGTTGGGACAAGCACTTTAGAGGAAATTATGGAGATCACATGGCTCTTTCTCCTGGAAGGAGGCATAACGAAACCTGCCATAGACATGCCACCGGACGCTGCGCTAGGCTGTATCACTCGGGGCGCCCCAGAGGGAGAGGGCAGGTGAGAGCCCTCCCTGCCCCAAGGGACCCAGCCCCAGGAACCGGAAACCTCCAGAACCCAACCGCCGCCAAATTCAAGGCCGCTCCCCACATGCTCAGCCAAGTCTCACACATGAGTGAACATATTCTTGGACTATGCGGCTGCATTTGTGGCTGCATGACACATCATAAGACACTTCCTAACGATTTTCTGTATGTACCACACCACATTTTATGGGGTTCAGATAGTAAGCAACAAATCATAGAGGAAAAAAATAATATATATATACATATATAAATAGCACAGTGGGTAGGGCATTTGCCTTGCACGCAGCCAACCCAGGTTCGATTTCTCCGTCCCTCTCCAAGAGCCTGGCAAGCTGCCAGGAGTATCTTGCCCACACAGCAGAGCCTGGCAAGCTCCCCATGTCATATTCAATATGCCAAAAACAGTAACAACAAGTCTCACTTCGTGTTCCTGGAGCAAGCAGATGCCATTGGCTACGCTAGCATGTGACAGGGATGAGTGGAGACCTACTGGTGCACACTCGAGCAAATTAATGAATAATGGGGTGACAGTGCTACAGTGCTATATACATATTATATATATAATATATATATATGAAAGCTCACATCACTCAACCTTTAACAACATGTTAGTGATATCCTAAAGAATGTCTTAATGGGTCCTGCCAAAATAGAACAATATTCACAGTTTTCTATATGAATACTTTTTTAAATAAGCATTTGCAGTGGTTCTTCATAACAGACAATACAAAATACATTATTTCAGCTGTGCTTTGGGACAGGGATAGTGGCTTGAGATGGAAACATCCCAAATTTGGTGGTGGGAAGGTGTAATAGTGGTGGGATTGGTGCTTGAATATTAAATATAATTGAATATTGTGAACTACCTTACAAATTTTTTAAAAAAATTTAAAAAATAGAGGAAGTTATGGGAGTGTCTTGAAAAGTTAAGTCTGTCTCTACCACGCCATGATCGACCATTCTATTCCTGGAGCAATAGCACAGTGGGTAGGGCGTTCGCCTTACACGCGGCCAACATGGCCGACCTGAGTTCGATTCCTCCGCCCCTCTCGGAGAGCCTGGCAAGCTACCGAGAGTATTCGATATGCCAAACACAGTAACAACAAAGTCTCCAATGGAGACGTTACTGGGCCCGCTCGAGCAAATCGACGATCAACGGGAGGGCCTTTACCTTTTTACCTTACCCAAGAATAAAGAAGCATTTATCCATAAAACTTGTAAGGAAAAGTTCACAGCGGTGGTAATCACACTACCTACAGCTCAAATATTCATCAGTAGGTGCATGGACAAACTGCAATATACCTGGTCTCTAGAATACCACTTCAAAATAAAACAAAACAAAGAAAAAAAGCAATGAAGCTTTTATATACACAAGAATAAAAGGTAAAGGTAAAGGCCCTCCCGTTGATCGTCGATTTGCTCGAGCAGGCCCAGTAACGTCTCCATTGGAGACTTTGTTGTTACTGTGTCTGGCATATCGAATACGTCACGGGGAGCTTGCCAGGCTCTGCCGTGCGGGCGAGATACTCTCGGTAGCTTGCCGGGCTCTCCGAGAGGGGCGGAGGAATCGAACTCGGGTCGGCCATGTTGGCCGCTTGTAAGGCGAACGCCCTACCGCTGTGCTATCGGAGTGATACATAAGAATAAATCTCAAAATAATTACTTCGAGTGAAAGAAGCCAGACCGAGCCCCCCCACCCCACCCCCCAAAAAAACACATGTGTGAAGTGACTCCATGTATATAAAACACTAGAAAATAAAAAGTAATCCGTGGCAGGAGAGATCTCTCAACAGGCTCAGCTCTTGCTCTGCATGCAGGAGGCCCAGCCAGGGGGACCCGTGAAAACCCCAAGGGTGACCCAAAAGTGAAAAAGGAAGACCAAAGCAAAGTAATCTGCATAGTAGAAAGCATCTTGGTATAAGCCTGTACTCACCCTTGTGCCTTGTGCAGGAGCCATGCTAAAATCTTTTCTGTATTATTCCAGTTTTTGTCTATGTGCTGCCGAAGTAAGCACAGATTGTATCTGCTTGAAATTTGAAGGAGGGGATGGAAATGAGGGTGACCAGAGGGATATCAGAAATCTTTGCTGAGAATGGCTAAGTATCTAAATTATGGCGTTAGGATGATGGGATTCGTGGGTATATATGCATCACGATTTATCAAGTGAAACATTTTAAAATGTGTGCTGTTTGCTGCAAGTCTCGATAAGGCAAAGAAATGGATTCATTCAGTAAAAGATGAGAGATTTCCTCTGTGTTCTTAAGCAAGATAGCTTTTGCATTTCTATGTCCTCATCTAAAAATTGAAAAGTTCTAGTGGACTAGACAGAGTTCAGTGGGTAAGGTGCTGCTTAGCGGGCAAACAACCCCTGTTCCAACACTGGTGTCAGATATGGTCCCCTGAACATCACCAGTAGTAGCCCCTTAGCATCACTGGGTGTGGCCCAATTCTTCCCCCAGCCCTATGCCCCACAAAGAAACAACAACCAAGACACCCTGAATAATCCTATCTACGTGGTTATAAAAGTAGTCAATCGATGTCGTGCTCTACATTAGTTATGGACTTTGCAGTTAACATGTTGGTAGCATATAAGCTAATAAGTCATGTTTCCACTTCCTTAATATTAAGAGTGGTTGAGAAGCTGATCCAACAATCTCACTTTGGGGTACTTATTTAAAGCAAATAAAGTCATTTCTTTCAGGAGATATTTTTACCCTGTGTTCAGTGCAGCATTACATAAAACAAGACAGGGAAACAACCAGGTGTCCATCTACAGATAAATGACTATATGATATATATATACATATATATAATGGAATATTGTTTATCCATTAAAAGCTCAAAGAAATCCTGCCCTTTGAAAGATCATGGATGGATGTTGAAGGCATGAGGTCTGGAGTATAAATCAAAGACAAACACTGCAGCATCTCATTTATTTTAAACCAACAAACCAACAACTACCTATCCCATGGTTAGGGAACAGATTGGGAATTAGAGGCAAGAGGAGAGCGGGGTGAGCAGTGGATGAAGAGGTCACAAATACACAACTTTTCAGTGATAAGTAAATCCCAGGGATGCAATGTATTATATGGTGATTATAGCGAATAACACTATCATGTATATTTGAAAGTTGTTAACAGAATAAATCTTAAATGTTCTCATCACAAGAGTAAAATTACCATTGGGTGATGGATGCTAAGTTTATTGTGGTAATCATTTGCAACATATGTATATAACAAATCATTAAGCTGCACGCCTAAAATTAATCAGTGTTGTAAGACCGACTGTCAGATACTAACATTTATCTCAAGGAAACAGTGTTTGACTTCATGACTTGATGAAACATTATTTTTTAATATAGCTCAGTGCTACTAACTTACAATCACTCCTTGATGATGGAAAGATAATGCATTCCAAGGCATTGATTTAGAGATCTTTCAATAGAGAGTAAATAAAAGCTTCTTTGTAGTAGATCTTTGGCAATATCTACTACATCAATACCTTGATTTAAAATAATTAAATGTTAATCTTTTATCGTTCCTTTTGAATAAGAACTGAATTTTGGCCCTAGATGATAGGAGTGGAGGATGATTCCTTGCATAAATTCTAGCTATTAAGTTAAAAAAAAAGTATAGAATTAAAAAAAATCACTATTTTGCAGTCTCCAGTAAAGTAGGTAATTCAGGCAAAGATCTTTTTTCTCTTTTCTTTTTTAAATTTTATTTTTCAATGAATCACCATGAGGTACAGTTACAGACTTACAAACTTTCATGCTTACGTTTCAGTCATACAATGATCCAGTACCCATCCCTCCACCAGTGCCCATTCTCCACCACCAATGTTCCCAGTATCCCTCCCTCAACCCATTCTCTTCCCCCACCTCTGCGGTCGGCACACTGCTTTATACTCTTTTTCTCCTTTAGGGTGTTGTGGTCTGCAATGCACGTATTAAGTGGCTGTCATGTTTGGTCTATAGTCCACTTTCAGCACACATATCCCATCCCAAGTGGGCTCTCCAAACATCCTTTACTTGGTGGTCCCTTCTCTATCTGAGCTTTTCCCCCAGCATGTGAGGCCGGCTTCCAAGCCATGGAGCAATTCTCCCGGTCCATATCTCTACTATCCTTGGGTGTTAGTCTCCCATTCTGCTATGTTATAGTCCACAAATGAGTGCAGTCCTTCTATGTCTGTCCCACTCTTTCTGACCCAATTTCACTTAACATGATACTCTCCATGTTAATCCACGTATACAGGCAAAGATCTTTAAGGGGGACTTCACCCCATAGAGAAAGGTAATTGTCCACAGAGTAACTTTTGTTTGTAGCCTAATACATATATATGTATATATTTAATTGAATCACTGTCACTGTGCTCCAGTTGTTCATAGATTTGCTTGAGCAGGCCCAGTAACATTGTGAGACTTGTTATTGTGTTTGGCATATCAAATAACGTCATGGGTAGCTTTCCAGGCTTTGCTGTGCGGGCGAGATACTCTCAGTAGCTTGCTGGGCTCTCCAAGAGGGGTAGAGGAATCGGCCACGTGCAAATGACCTACCCACTGTGCTATTGTGCTATTGCTCCAGCACACACACACACACACACACACACACACACACACACACACAGAGTCTCCTACCCTGTGCCTGACCCCACCAGGGCCCAACAGCTGAAGACCTCCGGGCCCCAGCCAAGGCCATACTGGGACCACTCTCCACACACTTGGATGAGCCTCACGCATAAAAGAACTGGCAGAGAAACCCAGGTGTATGGGACCCGGGGCTGAGATCTCCAAGCCTGCATGGTTTGGGAATAGACCTGCCAGTAGCTAGACAGTTACACCCACCAACTGCCGTGTAACCCCAACAATGGCCAGGATCCAGAGATTATCATACTCAGCTCCCGGAAGTGCGTGGCTGCATTTGCGGCCGCGCAACATCTTATTATCTCATTCCTACTTTGGACAAACTGGCAGGCTATGGAATGTAACCTGCCCACACGGCAGACTCTGGCAAACTGCCCGTGGTATACCCAATATGCCACATACCAGTAACAATGATGGGTCTCATTCTCCTAACCCTGAAAGAGCCTGAATATGGCACTTTTAAAAAAAATCTCAGGGCTAGGACGAAGGAGATGTTATTAGGGCCTGCTCGAGGCAATCGACGAACAACAGGATGGTCGTGATCGTCGTGATATATATTCGAATCTCTGGGAGATACAGTTACAAAGTTGTTCATGAATGGGTTTCAGTCATCATCTGTCCCTTCACCAGTGTACATTTCCCATCACCAGTGTCTCCAGTTTCCCTCCCAACCCCTCCCCCCAGCCTACTTCTATAGCAGGCACTTCCCCCCTTTCCTTTGGGATATTATGGTTTGCAGGATGTGTATCGAAAGGTTATCATGTTTGTCCCTTTACCTACTTTCGGCAGTCAATCCTCGTCCAGAGTGATCATTTCCAACTACTTTTGTCATAGTGTTCCCTCCGCTATCCTAGCTTCCGTCCCCCGACCACCACTTGTTGTAGCCTGCCTACTACCTGTCCTCAGATTCCCTCCCACCGAGACCCGCTGATCAGTCTTAGACATCGAGAACTTGACGATCAGATACTACTGCATTCTAGAGAAATAAAATATGAGGTACTCAACAACAAGCCAGGAGAGGTCTCACCAACAAAGATTTCACCTAAATCTAATCAAGTCTGTAGATCTAACTTCCATGTTAGAAGAAATACAGAAGATAAAGCTACCAGTTAACACCACAAGAAGGAAACCTAGGAGGCAAGACATCTTGCAGATCAATAACTTGTTTCCTTCAATGTTTCACTGACAAGAAAAGCAATGGGGTGGTACTGTTCTGAACCTAAACAGAAGACAGAAGAACCAAATGCAACACATTTGGGTCCTGGTTCCAATGAACCCCTTAAATTATGGGGCATAATTTAGGAAATTTGAACAAGAACTTAATTTAGAAAATTTGGAGTAGTTAATGTCAAGTATAATATGTACACCCATGTTACTGTGATTAAATAATAGGAATTTGGGGTGGGAGTCTGCACACCCATTGGTACCCAGGGGTTACTTCTGGCACTGTGTTCAGGAAACACTCACAGTGATGCTCGAAGAACCATAAGCAGTGCTGGGTATCGAACCTGGGTCAGCCACATGCAAGGCAAGTGCCTTAACCACTGTACTATCTCTCTAGTCCCATAATATATATAATATATAGTTTTACCTATGCATAAGGATAAAATATCACATCATTTGTTTAAGATACTTTTGCAGGCAGAAAAGCTAACTCATCAAGCTGAACACATGCAAGCTGTCACACGTATGAGACCCTGGGGTCAATCCCTCTCTTCACATGGATTTGATAATAAACAAATACATTTTATTTTAAATATTAAAACAAATTCTTTGATTTAAGGAAGGCCTTTGATTCTGTTGAGATGGAAGCGGTCACTGAAGCCCGAGCCAATCAGGACATTAAAACTCAATACATCAGAATCCTCCGTGAGCTGTATTACGGATTCACTACCAGGATCTCACCATTCTACAAATAAGTAATCATCCATGTCAAGAGAGGGGTTCGGCAGGGTGATACCATTTCACCGACACTCTTCAGTGCCACCCTCGAGAACATCATGCGACGACTGGAATGGGAAGGAATGGGAATGAAGATAGATGGTAGGCAACTACACCACCTCCGCTTTGCTGATGACATTGTTTAAATAACACCAAACATTAGCCAAGCGGCACAAATGCTGGCCGACTTCGACCATGAGTGTGGAAAGGCCGGACTACAGCTGAATCTTACGAAGACGATGTTTATGAGAAACAGCCTCGTTCCTGACGCCCCATTCGCTCTCAATGGAACGACCATCTCCGAATGCAACAGCTATGTGTACCTAGGTCAAGAAGTCAACGTGACAAATGACCTGGCACCCGAGCTGCACAGGAGGAAGAGAGCGGCTTGGAACGCCTTCAAGAGCGTCGAAGAAATAGCTAAGAGGATGAAGAACCTCCAGCTCCGGGCACATCTCTTTGATTCCACTGTTCTTCCTGCATTAACATATGCCTCAGAGACCTGGGCCCTACACAAACAGGATGAGAACGCTATTCGGGTCTCCCAAAGAGGAACTGAAAGAGCTATGCTTGGAATATCACGTTTCACTCAAATGAGAGAAAGAATCTGGAGTTCCAACCTCCATTGACGATCAAGAATCAGGGACGCTGTCTCGTTTGCCAAGCTATCAAAAATCAGATGGGCTGGTCACGTAATGAGATTTAGAGACAACCGCTGGACTAGAGCCGTTACTGACTGGATTCCACGGGATGTCAAAAGACTGCGTGGCCGCCCACCTACTAGATGGTCAGACTTCTTCATCATGACCATGAACGATCGGTTTGAGGCTTTTCGTGTTCCTAAAACGAACAGATGCCATTGGGCTACACTAGCACGCGACAGGGACAAAAGGAGACGTTACTGGTGCCCGCTTGAGCAAACTGACGATTAACGGGAAGTCAAGTGATCAAGTGATTAAAACAAATAATATTTAAATGGGCTGGAGCAATAGCACAGTAGATAGGGCGTTTGCCTTGCATGCCATCAACCCAGGTTCGATTCCTCCACCCCTCTCGGAGAGCTCAGCAAGCTACTGAGTGTATACTGCCCACACGGTAAAGCCTGGTAAGCTACCTACCCAAGATGTATTTGATATGCCAAAAACAGTAACAACAAGTCTCACAATTTGTTGTGAGACATTACTGGTGCCCACTCGAGCAAATCGATAAACAATGGGAGAACAGTGCTAAAGTGCTAATATTTAAATAAATTTTATTTTTAAAAAATAAACATCAAAAATCAATAAAAATTAATAAATGTAAACGCCACAGTTCGGGTTCCCCAAGCATTGCTAAAAACAACATCCCCCAGTGCAGAACCAGGAGTAACCTTCAAGCATCACTCATACAGCTCCCAAAAAAGCAAACAAGCAAATAAAATAACTTTTCCAAAATAGGTGATGAAATATAGAAAATTGTTAACAAATAATTACAAGCCATGGTAATGGGTAGATGAGGTCATACTCTGCTACTGTTCTATCTATGACTTTTTTTTTTGGCTTTTGGGTCAAACCCAGTGATGCTCAGGGGTTACTCCTGGCTCTGCACTCAGGAATCACTCCTGAAGGTGCTTGGGGACCACCTGGGATGCCAGGGATCAAACCTGGGTCAGCCGCATGCAAAGCAAATAACACTCTAGCCACTGTACTATCACTCCAGTCTTTGTCTATGACATTTTTCTTAATAAAATTTCCAAAACATATACTACCAAGTAATGCACTGTTGCTTGGCAAACACAAATGCCTGCCTTCAAAGTGCTTCACCATTCTGACTTGGGAGCCACTGCCATTCAACTCCAGTGAGGAAAGAACCACACCATGGGCCCACTAACCCACCAACCTGGGATGTGTGCAGCTACATGCCTGGAACCACATCACCCTGAGCAAGTGACCTCACCTCCGAAGCACCAAGGTGGCCTTACCTTATAGGGTTGCATAAAAGCAGGGATATCAGCATGGATAGAGACCAATATTCAAATATTTATCTTTTTGGGGGGAGGGGTGTGTGGGATGAAGCCTAGGGTCTCATCCTAGAGAAGTCTATCCTTCCTACTGGCTACCCCCACTTACAGAATATTCAACCTGTCCTTCCCAAGGCCCAGACATGTGCTGGGTGCCCCCTGGCAGGATGGAGGTGACAATACTGACCTTTCTCAGGCAATCACAGCTGCAGGAAGTAACACCATAAAATGAAAAGGCCAATGGGTTATCAGAGGCACTGAGGAATGAGCAAGGCCACTGTTCATGTGCAAACTCCCGGAAGAGAGGGACACAGAATGTCTCAATCCCGCTCCAGGCTGTCTTCACTGGGTCAACTCAGAGGGGGATGGACTGAGTTTCCCTCCCCGCCCCAAGCAGAACCCCAACAGCCGAAAACCTCCAGAACCCAACCAAGCAGGTATGCCCAAGGCCACTATCCACAGGCTTGGACAAGTCTCACCTATGAGGGAACCTGCAGAAAAACCCAGGTATTCAAGACACATAACTGAGATCTCCACCCCCCTACCCCCGCTCAGAATGGGACTGGGCCTCCTCCCCCAAGCTCCCCAGTTTTCCAGTAGCTTGGCAGTCACACCCCAAACTGCCCTGGCACCATATAACCTCATCCATGGCCAAGATCCAAACACAAACAAAACACAGTCCTCCTGTTGTTCATCGATTTGCTCGAGCAGGCCCAGTAACATCTCCGTTGTGAGATTTATTGTTACTGTGTTTGGCATATCCAATACGTCACGGGTAGCTTGCCAGGCTCTGTCATGCGGGCGAGATACTCTCGGTAGCTTGCCGGGCTCTCCGAGAGGGGCGGAGGAATCAAACCCGGCTCGGCCGGGCTGGCTGCGCACAAGGCAAACGCCTTACCGCTGTGCTATCGCTCCAGCCCAGAGACCACAAAATAAAGCTCCCAGAAGAGAGTGAAGCACAATGTCTTGGAGACAGCAGAGTGATGGAAGCAGGAACTTGGGAAGAAGACAAGTTTGCTTTCCAGTATTTTTCCCCCCTAGCTATGTGGCATTGAATGAGTTCTTTTGTCTCCTTTGTGCACAGAAGGCAGAAACCATCCTGAGCAAAGGCCCTTAGCTGGGAAGATGATACTGTACACAGGGTGTGGAGATCACAGCAGCAAGCACCTGGCGGACATGAAGCCCTGAGTGTTCCACGTTGCTACTGTGACTGTCCCTCCGATCCAGACAAAGGTGGTGGAATGATTCTAGCGTGCAGCCAGGGCTAACAACCACTGATCCCTGCCCTTCAAGAGATAACACTTCAGGTGTGTATACCTCAGGCTGGAGGAGAACTCAAAGGACTTGAGCACACATGGGGCATTCACAAGGCCTGGGGTTCAATGCCCCGAGCACTGCACAGCTTCCTGAATGCACCAGGTAGAGGAAGACAGTCCTAGCCCCCCCCCCCTCCCCACCCCAGGGTAAACTGGCACAATGCAAGCAGAAGTTTATTGTTATCATTATTATTGTACTGTAGCACTGTAGCACTGACCTTCTGTTGTTCACTGATTTGCTCCAGAGGGCACCAGTAACGTCTCCATTTGAGACTTCTTGTTACTGTTTTTTGGCATAGCGAATATGCCACGGAGAGCTTGCCAGGCTTTGCCGTGCGGGCAGGATACTCTTGGTAGCTTGCCGGGCTCTCCGAGAGGGAAGGAGGAATCGAACTCCCGTCAGCCATGTGCAAGGCAAATGCCCTACCCACTGTGCTATCGTTCCACCCATTATTATTGAGGACTCCATAACATCCATCCCGTGATCTAATAACCTGCAGAGGATTTAAGTTCCTACAGAAAGGGTTCCTGAAAAGTCCTTTTCTCTCATACCTCTCCTACAAGCTTTCTTTTACTGCAAGAACAGAATAGACCTGGAAGAGAGAGCGAGCGAGAGAGAGAGAGAGAGAGAGAGAGAGAGATGTGGGGGGGTAGGGCAGAGACTCCGGGTGGGGTTAAGGAAACATTGGGGGTAAGCCACAAAGCCCTCATCCACCGCCAATCTCTCTAGGCTCCCAACTTGAACCCCAATAAGTGCACACACCTGGGTGGCAGATTTGAGCCACCACGCAGTGAAATTCAGTGTTGGGGACCATCCCCTCGGCTGCAAGGCATTGTAGCAAGTGAAAACTCTTGAGTAAGGAAAAAACTAGTCCTGTCATTTGTCAAGAGGGCAAGAGAAGGGCTGGAGCAATAGCACAGAGGGTAGGGTGTTTGCCTCGCATGCAGCCGACCCAGGTTCAATTCCCAGCATCCCATATGATCCCCCGAGCACCACCAAGAGTGATTCCTGAGTGCATGAACCAGGAGTAACTCCTGTGCATCCCCGGGTATGACCCCCCCCCACCCCCCAAAAGAGGGCAAAGAGAGAAAACGACCAGACACATTCAGTGTGCACCGTCTAGGAACCAGTATTTTGGGGAACGGGCTTACCAATTTGCCAGAGGCGGGAGAGCCGCACTCTTCAGGTGGAGGATTTGCCCAGATCCATCCAGCTGCACACTTACCATCTGCGCCCTTTTATTGGCACCGAGAGAGGGCACAGCAGATGTGGCTCAGGGATGTCTCCTGGGGATGCTGGGGGCAGAGTTGGGAACTGAATGCAGGACTGAATGAATGCACTCTCTCTCGGGTCCATCTGCACCATTGGTCTGCACCCTTTTTTTTTTTTTGGCGTTTTGGGTCACACCCCGCGATGCACAGGGGTTACTCCTAGCTCTGCACTCAGGAATCGCTCCTGGCGGTGCTCGGGGTGACCATACGGGATGCTAGGAATCGAACCCGGGTCGGCCACGTGCAAGCCCAATGCCCTAGTCGCTGTGCTATAGCTCCAGCCCCTGGCTGCACCTTTGGTTGTGGGTTCACCTCATTTGCATTTATTTGGGGCCACACCCAGTGGGGCTCGGGGTACCCCGGTGGGGGTGCGTGCCAAGCACACTCCCTACTCGCTGTACTGGGGTCATGCGGGAAGAGAAATCCAAGTCCCAAGCTGGGTATCCCCCCCCCCCCCCCCCCCGGCCCCCGGGACCCGGCGGGATGGATGGTCCGGGGCGCGGAGCCGAGCTCCGGTGGTGCCACCGGGCGGTGGGGGAACGGTGTGCGGGGGCGGGGAAGGGAGGCGTAGGGAGGGTCTGACTCCAGCTTACCGATTACCAGGAAGGTCAATACCCACAGCAGCACGGCGGCCGTCTGCAGCCGCCGCGCCAGCGGGACGTTGAGAGGCGCGAACTGGATCCTCATGGTCCGGCCGGCTGGGACGGGTGCGGACGGTGCGGACGGCAGGAAGCGCGTGGCGCGTGGCTCGGCCGCACTCTGCGTGGGGGCGTCGGCCAGGCAGCCCGAGAAATCGGGGTAGGTAGGTGCCTGCAGGGAGAGGACGCGGCCCTGCCCAGCCCGAGGGCGGCCAATCGCCGGAGCGCGCGCTGCACACGCGCCCCGCGCGCCCTGCGGCGCTCGCCCCGTCGGGCCCCAGGCGCGGGCAACCCTGCCCGGGGTTGCAGCGCCTGCCCCGGGGACTCTCCACCGCTGTTGTGGAGCTGATGGATCAATCGCGCGCCCCTCCCCGGTTCACAGCATCAGCCTTTAAACCCACGCCTTCCTCCGAACCAGGCTTGGTGCCGGGAGTGGGAGTGGCCGTCCCGCTGCAGATAAGCTCGGCTGGAGATAGATGCGCATTGACCCAATTGTGTCTTACTGGGCTGTGTCTTCCACAAGAGGGGCGTGGTGGTGGTGGGGGGTGGGGTGGGGGGGTACAACCTACTCAGTCCAGACTCCTGAGATCCTTAGATCTGCGTGAGAGACCTGGAAACCTCCCCATTCCAGGTGATGCTCAGGGATTACTCTGGGCTCTGCACTCCTCAAGCGACGCCGAGGGTCGAACCCGGGTGGACCGCATGCAAGGCAGACGCCCTACCCTCTGTACTAGCGCTCTGGCGCCCACCTTCCTCTTCAACACGCGGTGGTGGTACCTAACAGGGCTGAGAAACCGAGCCCTGGGTGCCCGAGCTATACATTTCAACCAGGCACTCAGCCATTGATTGCACTCTGAGGAATGATTCCATTCTGAGTTATGGCTGGGGTGGGGGTGGGAGATATGTACCCCTGGGCGCTGTAATTCCAGGTGAAGCCCCACTGAGAACGGCTGGTAGGTTCTAGGACTTAGGCTCAAGGAAGTCCCAGCAAAAAGGTCCTGGCCTTAAATGCACAGTATGATGAACCTATCTGATTAGCCACAGGTGTCTTCCAGGTAATCAACGAGATATACCTGTGCAAAGGTCCTGGTGTCAAAACTCCAAAAGACTAATACTGTGGGAACTTAGGGAATGAGGAGATGTGAGAAGAGACAAAAAGGCTGGCAAGGCCAGATACGCAGGCTGGAATTCCAGCTCATCTCTAATATTTGCCAATATTGAAAGAAGGAAATGGGAGGGAGGAGGGGAAGAGAATGAGAAGTAATGGGTGAACAGGCATCAGGGCTTCCGTTAGACCGGTGATGCAGGTGAGGGTCATAGCCGTTTATGTCCAAAACACAGACTCAACAACACTGAAAACATGAGATCTAAGCTGCAACCACTGACATTTTGTAATGTGCCTGTCAAGTTGACAGGTGGGGATGGGTGGGGCTTGGGGTGGGGAGGGAATATGGGAACACTGGTGGAGAGAAGTCAACACTGGTGCTGGTGTTGGTGTTGAAAAAAGATATGGCTGAAAGTATCAATAACTTTGTAAATCATAGTTCTTAAAAAAAAAAAGAAGGAAAGAAGGAAGGAAGGAAGGAGGGAAGGAAGAAAGAAAGAAGGGAAGGAGGGAAGGAAGGAAGGAAGGAAGGAAGGAAGGAAGGAGAGAGGGAAGGAGGGAAGGAGGGAAAGAAGGAAGGAAGCAAGGAAAGAAGAAGGGAGGGAAGGAGGGAAGGAAGGAAGCAAGGAAGGAAGAAGGGAGGGAAGGAGGGAAGGAAGCAAGAAAGGAAGGAAGGAGAGAAGGAGGAAAGGAGGGAAGGAAGGGAGGAAAAAGGGAGAGAAGGAGGCAAGGGAGGTAGGAGGGGGGCTTATCGATTTCTGGGAGAAACAAAAAACAAGCATATATGTATATAACCAAATATGCGAGCACGTCTAAAAGACACCAATGAAGTCAGAGCTAGACAGTGACCACACCTACACAGCACAGATCGGGAGTGACAAAACAGAAGTAGGGCCACCCAGAAGCTTACTTTAGGGGGAGGGTAGACGGTGGTGACTGGCCCTGCTGCAGTAGACAAGGAGAATGAGATAGATTTGGAATACACTTGGGGACATGTGGAGAACAACTTGAGGCATTGGATTCACAACCTATAGGCACCCAAGAAGAGCAAAACACCCACACATCTTTTAAATCAAAGAACTTTTTTATCTGGCCTACTGCCTTTTCCCCTTCCCTGGACATCTCTTCAGCTGCAGTTATCACTACTATTGGAATCTGGCTCCCAGGGGCTCTTGCTCTCCCTCCTGCCTAAGGTGACTATTTTTAGCAAATTGAACTTTGACATCAAGCAGGTGTAAAGAGGGAGAGCCAGCCTCTGAGGGGTCTGTGAAATCCAAATGGAAACCACAGCTAAGTAGGGTTTCTTTTTCTTTTGTTACTTTTACTTTTCTTACTGTTAATCATAGTTTAATGCTTTAATGCATATATCACTCAACACATTTACACCAGTGTTCCTCCACTCGTGTCACAAGTCTCTTTCTCATCCACCCCTCGCACACCCTAAACACAATTCTGTGGGTCAGCTCTTCAGTTTTATTACCTTTGTGCTTTTCTTGGGCCAGAGCAATAGCATAGCGGGTAGGGCGTTTGTCTTGCACGCAGCCAACCGGGTTTAATTCCTCCGTCCCTCTCGGAGAACCCAGCAAGCTACTGAGAGTGTCCCGAATGCACGGCAGAGCCTGGCAAGCTCCCCTTGGTGTATTCACTATGCCAAAACAGTAACAAAAAGTCTCACAATGGAGACGTTACTGGTACCCGTTTGAGCAAATCGATGAACAGCAGGAGGACAGTGCTACAGTGCTACTTTTAAAAAAGGTTTTATTTTATTTATTTTTTTATTAATTCACCGTGAGGTTCAGTAACAAAAATGTCATGTTTGAACTTCGATCATATGGTCATCAAATACCCATCCCTTCACCAGTGCATGTTTTCCACCACCAAAATTCCCAGTATACCCCCCTGCTCCCCATTCCACATCTCCTCCTGCCTGTGTGGCAGACAATTTGCAAAATATTCTTTCTCTACTTTAGTTACCTTCAAATCTCGAGACCAGTCCTATCACCCCTCATAAAAGGTTTCAATCTAAAAAAAAAAAAAGTAGATCAGTGAAGGGACAGGTGTTAGAATGTTGTATTAAAAATAAAAGGCCGGGGCTGGAGCGATACCACAGCGAGTAGGGCGTTTGCCTTGCACGTGGCCGACCGGGGTTTGATTCCCAGCATCCTATATGGTCCCCTGAGCACCGCCAGGAGTAATTCCTGAGTGCAGAGCCAGGAGTAACCCCCGTGCATTGCTGAGTGTGACACAAAAAGCAATAAATAAATAAATGAAATGAAAGGATTTGGTGGGAAATGTGCACCGGTGAAGGGATGGGTGTTGGAACATATGACTGAAATCTAATCATGAACAACTTTGTGACCGTGTACCTCACTGTGATTCAATAATAAATAAATAGCACTGTAGCACCGTCCTCCCATTGTTCATCGATTTGCTCGAGCGGGCACAAACTGTGAGACTTGTTGTTACTGTTTTTAGCATATCGAATACATCACGGGTAGCTTGCCAGACTTTGCTGTGCGGGCGAGATACTCTTGGTAGCTTGCCCGGCACTCCAAGAGGGGCGGAGGAATCGAACCTGCGTCGGTGGCATGCAAGGCAAACGCCCTACCCACTGTGCTATTGCTCCAGCCCAATAAATAAATAAATAAAAATTTTTAAAAAATTTTAAAATGTTTTAGGGCTGGAGAGAGAGTACAGATAAATAGACCATTTGCCTTGCATGTGACCAACCTGGGTTCGATCCCCGGCATCCCATATGGTCCCTCAAGCATCTCCTCGTTCTATCCCTGAGCACAGAACCAGAAGTAAGGGGGTATGGTGCTGCCAGCAGGTCAATCTGTACCTGTGAGGCGAGTGCATCAGCAGCCTGATGGTGCCTTCAGATTTCCAGATACCCCAAAATTGCTGCTTTGTCTTTGGCCAGGCCCCAAAAACTTGGGACAAAGTTTACCAAGAAAGTAAATGGCCAAAAGTTAGGTATGTGGGAGACACACCCACAAACCAGCTCCGGCTCAGCTATATACTTGGAGGCATGGCCTCTCTGGTTCCTGATTGAACTGCTTAATGGCCATGATCCCAGAGACTCAGAAATAAATCTCAGAACCCAAAGGCTTTTGGCAGAAATGAGTCCTGTTCCTGCAGTAGATTACTGGCTCTGGGCCAATCCAGGTGGGAATAGGTTTCATGCCTTGACCTGTTTCCCCTGGCGGTTCAGTGACTGCCATCCTCCAGAGGCCACAGGACAGTCAGGTTTGGCCTGCGGTGATGAGACACGCGGGGCCTCACCAGATGGGGGTGGAACTAGCCCTTTCCTCCCCATCCCAACGAGATCCTGAGTCACCGCCTACAAACGACCTCTCTGGCTCCTGATCAAGCAGATTAAGGGCCATGATCCAAGAGACTCAGAAACAAATCTTGAAACCCAACGGCTTTTGGCAGAAATGCATCTGGACCACATACAAGGTGACCGCCACCTCAGAGCTTATTAGAAAGCCAGGTATGAGCTGGCGGTGATGGGCCAACTGCAGTCTCATGGGAACGGGGGCGATACCGGCTCGTTCTTCACGACCTACCGAGGTCACGAGTTGCCCCCCCATGAGCGGCTCTCTGGTATGGCCATGGCTCCAGAGGCAAAAGGACTTAGTCCAGAGCCCAGCAACTGGTGGCAAAAAAGTGAATGGACCTTGTGTTAAACTATGGCGCCATTCCTCCCCAGGAGGGAAAGAGTGTTGCTCCCTTCCGCCTTTCCCCCCCACCCCCACCCCCGGCAGCAAGGTGGCCCCTGCCTCAGAGCTTATAGGGAAGCCAGGTATGAGCCAGTGGTGACGGGGCAACTGCAGTCTCATGGGATGGGGGGCAGTACCGGCTCAACCTTCATGCCCTACTGAGGTCACGAGTTGCCCCCCATGAGCGGCTCTCCGGCACAGCCATAACACCAGATGCAT